CCAAATCAGCAGAAAACAGCCGCCAGCCATTTTGCTGAATCATACAAAAATTAATATGTGTGAAAAAGCATACACAACCTTTCAAGAATTCTTTTTCCGTGGGTTTTCTCTGTTTGGTCTGACACTGGACTGTCAGCATCTGGTGATGCACTTATACGTTTTTGACTATCATTATTTCATCTTTAGCCTGTGCATGGGAATGTCAGATTGCCTTCTCATCATGCTTGGATTTTTAACATCATAAAGCACTTAAACTCAATCCTGCAGCAATTTCATGCACATTCTTTGCCTTGACCTACATTTATGTGGTAATGAATCACAAAGAGTAAATTCTTTTTCACTAATTCTTTTATTCTGCTCAGAGTGCCGCTGTGAACAAAGGCCTTCTTGTGCATCACAGAAGTGCAGTGGATCTGCCATTATGATGCTTTTCTGGATAATATCATCTACCAAGATGCCTATGAGCAATTAAAGTTCATTAACTTGATACTGCGCTTTAACAGAACTGAACCCAGCCCAGAAAAATACAACGAGGCAATGCCATTCAAAAAATTGTTTATAATCTAGTCACAGATTAATTTCTGGCTGGACTGGGGGGAATTACGTTAGTTCCACTTCTGTTAACGTAGCAAAACCAGCTGCCTCCATTTTCATAAAGAATCTAATTTGGGGAAGATTGAAGGACCCTGCAGACTTCTAGGGTGATACTTTTAGATGCTGCCCCGCCCCCCGCTGGCTTCCCCCGTACAGATAATTTTCCCCAGGGTGCAGGCTGATTAGGTGGATGTGGTAACGGAGTTCCCGTTAAACAGATGTCCCTGGGCATTGTGCTAATGAAGTTCCTGGGAGTATCCTGGGCCGGGCGGCCGTGACCCGTTGCCGCATCCGAACACGATGCCCGCTTGGCTAGCTTAACGGCTGGCTTCTCCACACCTTTGCCAGCATGCTGTAACCTCACCTGCAACCCGGCCAAGTGCATTGCTAAATCATAGCTCACGGTAAATTTATAAACAAGAAGTTGCTGCCAACTCAAAGCAATATCTTCAACTCTTTGTAAGGTTCATGTTTTGCAACTTGACTATCTGGTTATATATCTACAGTATGTTGAATAGCCTTTCTTTACTATTTTCATATTTCTCTGGTCTATCATTTAATATGTAACCAGAAGACAAAGGACAACTTAATTTTTTTAACACAGAAAATATAAAAGTCTTTTTAATAATATGGTTTAGTGTGTCAGGTTGATTCAGCTTCACATCAGCTGTATCTCTTACAGACGCAAAATGTTCAAACATCTTGAGAGAATGTGATGTTTTTTTGGAAAGTAACATATGCGTTCTCCGTGTCACTGATGGTTTGTGTTTCTGACTTTATGTCTTGCCACTGCAGGTTATGTACCTGTGTTACTGGAGCTTTTAACTGGCTGGGCGAATTGCTAAACTGGCTTTTGCGGCCCATGAAATGATAAATAATGATTTTTACATTTAGATCACATCTCAGTCACGTTCTGCCCAGGTAGAGTCACGGAACCTTTCAGTTGCCCCAAGCTGAACGGACTTTGCCCCAAATCTGCTCTGATGGTCTGACGGCAGCTCGTAATAATCCTCCATGATGGTGCTTATCTCTGATTTCAGCCCTTTATGGGTTTCTGGCTCATAAATCAGTTTATTGCGCTGTTTTGCTCGTTCGGGATTGCTGACATTTTGCCTGCCATTTAGCAGAGTCTCTCTAATGGAGTGTGGTGTTTTGTGGAAGGAGCTGGTTACACAGTACGCAGTTGTGTCTGCCGGCCAATTAGAAACGCTCTAGTTGATCAAACCCGGCTCTGTACATCCACTGCAGTGCAGGGTGGCAGCAGAAAGGAGGCGCCCTGACCCCCTTCAGTGTCTTTTCTGCAGAGACAGATGAGGTGAAGCTTTCAGTGGGGCACAGATGGGGAACGGCTCAGCCGCAAATAATGGATACCCTGCTGCTTAGGCTGAGTCTGAACCCTGAGTCTCAGCCCCTCGCTGTCCGTGAGCCCATGTCTGTCGGCTGAACTTTTGACCTGTGACACTCTTACAGGAGGAATAAATTTTCATGCTGGAGCCCGCAACCCTTGCGCTACTCCCTGTCCTACCTAAAGTCCTCAGCATATTACACCAAGGAAAAAAGGACTTGGGGGGGGGGGGGTCTTAATAGTTCTTGCTGTCACCGACCTCGTTCCTCACAGCAAAGAGCATAGCCAGCAGTGTCCCCCTGGGCCGATTTACATTCGGGCAGCGTTAAGTAATCTTGGCTGATCATTCAACTTTTCATCTTTATTATTGCCCTCGACTGTGCCTCTGGGTTTCCCACTGAGGAAAACACCGTATGAAGCGTTACTTCGGCCTGGAAACGGTGAATGGTCCTGAGTCATCCCATTGTAATCCAGGGACGTTTCCCGCCATTCATCAGGGCATTCAGTGGTGCAGATAGCTGGCAATAAAGGCAATTCAGAGTCACGAAGGTGACAAAATGCCCTTTCAAAGACACCCAGCTTTCCATTGGTGTTACCACTGGCTGCACGCTACATTTCAAACTGAGGGCAGTTTTAATTGTGGTGGTTTAAATAGGAAAAAAAACAATGCATGCTACTGCATCAATTGCAAAACATTTACACCAAGTGGGTTGGAGAAACCATTAGCAGTAATGGGTTACATTAACTGCACCTTCATAGTGCATTCATAATGCATTCATATTGCATTCATGCTTATACTTGACATGACAGCTTTAATGTACATTACTAACGAACATTATATAATTATATGATCATAATGTTAGTTAGTAATGTACATTAAAGCTGCCATGACTTGTTCATTGAAAGTAATATGAATTGAATCCATTATGACGTTAAGATATACTTAGATGCTGCTTATGAATGTTCCGTGAATGCATTAAGATGGTGCAGTGATTGTAAAGCATTACACAGGTAACATTGTTATTTATATAAGCAAAGGCCATTACAAAGTATCTGCAAGGCAATTTCTCATTGTCATTAATTTATCTATTCACTTGGTAGTCTTGTGTCGGATAAAGAGTCAAAGGCATACTATTTACAGTGACATTATTATGCTGTAACGTTGAGCGATTTTTGTTGGAGGACCCCAGACAAGCCAGCAACAGGGTCACTCCCAAGCGCCACCAGCCAAATGCCGCCCTGTTCGGGGCCCAGGGCTCTTTCAGTGTGCTATACACATGGCAGTGTGCCAGGCCTGAAATTTACACTGTCATGTCAAGGTTTTCAATGAACGAGCCATGCTTAGATTACCATTAAAGTAAACAAGGCAAAATTAATGAAGTGCAGCTGGAGGTATGTAAACTAAGGTTATTTTACTTCTATTACTTCCAATAACTTGCTGACCCCCGAGCTACAAGTCTCAGCTGTGACAGGGCTAGTATGGCCTGCAGAGGAGAGCTCAGAAGTACTCATACTTGGAGGTTGCAGGGTTGGGGGATGATACAACCAGGAGGCTCCTCCAGTGCTGAAGGTGGGGTCCTCATCTGTCATCCAGAAAGCCGCACGGGATGTTTGGGAGCCGGCGTCCCATTGCCATCTCAGTTGTTGTCCCATTGCCATCCTGCCGGCGTGTTTACTTTGGGTGAGGTGAAGCATTGCTCTGGGCCTCTTGTAGTCAAAATTCCCCCAGAGTGAGCTGACCAGGCATCTGAAAGTGCTGAGATGATACTTAGTGATACACTTTAACTACCTCTGCAGGTTGAAGCTGTTACCATCGCGGTGTAATTTATCCAGCAATAGATTTTTTTACCCAGAATGCATCTTGCAAGCATTCTGTAAGACAGCAAGACAACAAACAGAACCATGTGACATGATGGTCAGAAACAATAGGTGATTTGTTTGGTTATGGGAGTGGAGGTGGGCTTTACAAAATCGAAATGAAAACAAAACCCACAGGGAGATCAAATGAACGTTGACCTGTGGTGAGGGTTACAACAGAGAGCAGAGCAGGGCCTGGATGCTTGTTCTAACTTGAGAGACAAACAGAACCCATTGCTATATGACCCCAATGGATATTTACACAACATTTCAGTCATTGTTTCCTGCCTCATATATGAACTTGGCTCAATAAAACCGGGTTAATTAAAATGAGTCTTTTACAGTTATATAATTTCAGTTAAATAATGAAATAATATCCTTTATTTGTTTGATACTGATTATAACAGAAGTTGGTTTCAGGGCAGGAAGTCCTTCCGTAATTGGTGCCGTTTTCTTGCTGGTCGTTTTGTTGGTGAGGGGCTCTGAAGGCAGCAGCGCACCCGTGACTGTGATTAGTGTGCTGGTGAACAGGAGCAGGCACTTCTGGGTAAATCCTCTTCCTCTGGGCATCTGCTCTGCACACCAACTGGCGATTCGTCACTAAGTGCCCGAGTCCATTATGGCACGACACCCGGAGGCCTGTTTGTGGGGCGGCGGCTCGGGCCTTAAATTTTGTCAAATCGGACAACATCATATTACAAAAGAAAATATAATTGTATTAAATGTACTTAATTTCTGAAGCGTGCGATTGTGCGTGAATGTGTGCAGGTGTGCGTGGCCTGAAATGGACGCGGGTCCAGAGTGTCCTCCTACCTTGGGCCCTGTGCTGCCTAGGGTAGAGTCCAACACCCCCTCCCCCCTCATGACCCTGTTCTGAGTAAGTGGTTCGAGGATGGATGGATGGATGGAGGGAGGGAGGGAGGGAGGTCTATAGCTCTGGAATCAGTGAGAGCATGGCGTGCTGAGGTCGACACATTGATGTATGGGATGGGCGTTCCTAACTGAAGTGCCTTCAGGAGAGGTATTGAAATAGCTAAGCTTTAAACATCATTTCCTTTGCCTGCCTAAGACTTGTGTGTGTGTGTGTGTGTGTGTGTGTGTGTGTGTGTGTATATATATATATATACTGATATACTTCTTAGTGTATCTTCTGTATTTTTTTAAGTGCAGTTTATAGTAACTTCAGTTATTTTCACACTCGCAGGCGCATCCTGCCGCCGCAGATGTTGCCGCATGTTGGATGGAGCCTGCAGTACTGCAGTAGGACACTGACACATGCAGTGACCTTTCCCCATTCGAGCCAGCCGCCCAGACCGCTGACGGACCCAGGACCACAGCCATCCCCGGAGATCCATCGGCCATGAGACGCAAGCGAGGCCCAAGCGATTAGCAGACCTCAGGGCCCGGTGGACGAGGCATGTCTGTGTGTCGGAGGAGAGCCACTTAGCAGGTAATGGGGCCACGCCTGACCCATCTGTGGCGGGGCAGAGGAGGGAGGCCTCAGGAGGCCCACGGGCAAGGCTGCCCATCTGGCCTCCTCTTCATCATCCACAGTGTGCCAGGAAGGTCCTGGGCAGAGGCATGGGGGAGGGGGAGTAAGACAAACTGACATGTGGACAGACAGGCATACGCACAAAAGACGCAGAGGGGCCAGGAGCAGCGTAGGAGAAAGCTACAGACAAAAAGATAAACAAGCATGCAGATGGAAGGAGACAAAGAGAGGCAGACAAAAGAGAGACACAGAGAGACAGACAAAGAAACAGACAGAGTGTCCAGGCGACTGACAAAGAGACCAAGACCATGGGACTGACAGAGAAACAGACAAAAACCATGGGACTGACAAACAGACCGAGACCATGGGACTGACAGAGAAACAGACTGAGTGACAGACAGAGAAACATTCAGAGAGAAAGAGAGAGAGAGAGAGATAGAAAAACAGACCATAGGACTGACAGAGAAACAGACAGAGACCATAGGACTGACAAAGAGACAGAGACCATGGGACTGACAGAGAAACAGACAGAGGGAGAAACAGGCAGAGAAAAAGAGAGACATACAGACATGCACAGCTCTGGTCACACAGCAGAATATTTGCTAGCTGTGCGCGTAGACTGGGGCCGTCTTATGTGTTCCTTCCTCATGACACCAAAGGGAACTGACAAATTATGTGATATGCACACAATGCTGAAATGCAGCCTGTGTCATTGAGCTACAGATTGTGAATGCAATGTTTGCTTTCTTCTGCTAACATGGGCTCTTAAACACCAACGTCAGTTGCCAGTAGCAACATACTGTGTAATTTTGAGCGTAGGTGATTTCTCTGATCGGTATTCAGAACTCTGTAATATGCACTACATTATATCTTAAATAGGCTATTTTGCATAACCTATATTTGACATATGATAGTCTTGTGTAATTATTCCCCAGTAAAAAGATCAAGTGTTTTTTATTTATAGGTAAGAAAGATCGCATCACGTTATAATGTTTTGAGTTGATCTGGGCTATTGCTTTTGGAACCTATATAAAGGATTGTGTGAGTAATCTTATGCCTACAATTCTGTTTCTGCTTGGGTTTTGGGGGTGAATTGTAAGTCCTTCAGTCCCATTGCTGTGACGTGTCCACAGATAATGTCTTTCTCACCCCCTGGTGGGAGACACTCGATGGGAGAGGTCTCGCACCTGTTTCTAGCTCTGCAGGCTAACCATGCTGGCCGCTGTTCCTTATTAAGACGTGTCCAAGTTGTTAATAACCCATATAGCTGAAAACAGGTGGGACTGAATGATGTGTACGAGTTTTGCATCTGCAGCCAGAGCGCCCCCTCATGGGGGGGGGGGGGGGGGGGGTGTTAACTACTGTACTCTCTCCCCCTGAAGACCCAGGCACTTGGTTTTTCCCATGTGGTAATTTGTAGGACAGTTCTTTCCAATGATGTCCTGTAATTCTTTTCCCAGCCTAGACATGGACATAGATATATGTCTACAAATTTCCACCATCCTTGGTTTTGTGGTAATGAAGATTCTATCCATCCATCCATCCCTCCTTTTTTTCTGAACCGCTGGTCTAATTCAGGGTTGCTCAGGGTCCGGAGCCTATCCCTGAAGCTACGGGCACACAGCAGGGAATAACCCAGGATGGGACACCAACCCATTGCTGGGCACAATCACAATAAAGATTCCAATATACAAGAATTTATTGAAATGTGCTTGTGATGCTTTCAGAACCATAATATGTCCAGAAATCCACAGAATGGCCCATAATCGGTTTTTCTGAACAAGTGGACTAGAGTATTCCTTGAGAACTGTATGATTTGAGTGGTTCTTCAAGAATGGCCAGTCTTCTGGACTGGTCATAACTGGAAATGAGTTGCAACACTTTAAGAAACATATAGTAAAGTCCTTTGAAAAGTTATAATTTGAGGTAAAGGGACGTGGGATACTTTGGATATCTTTTATTTTTTTCCTAAAGCCAAGGGTGAAAATGTAAACTTATGAAATATCCACTATCGTGTTGCTGAAGTTTGGTTATAAGGTTTGGTTTTCTTTTCATTGGACAAAGAATGTGTTTGGAAAGGTCTGAGATACTCAGTCTGGAGTAACAGATGTGTAGTTCGATTGAATAAACGATTACATTTAATGAGCTTGAACGAGTGTATCCCAGCAACACTGTTTAAAGGAGGCCGGCGCTCGACGAGGCAGAGGAGGCCGGACTGGAGGCAGCTGCAGAAGTGCTTTAACAGTTCAGCTGCTTCCATCAACAGTTGTCGCTATGGCAGCAGTTCAGTGAATTTAAATGGAAATGATTTAATTCAGTTTACACTCACATTTTTTGTCAAATATGAGTATGTTTATTTGCTTAGCTTATGCTTTTATCCAAGTGAATTACAATTTTTGCTCATTTATGCTGCTCGATGCCGTAGAGGAGCACTTTAGGTTCAGTGTTATGCTCACTGGGGCTACAGCAAGGCCTCTGCTGAGCCTGGAAGCTTTGCTGCCTGTTACTTGGGAATAATAAGATATTATACAGAAAATGCAAATAATAGAGGTACCGTGGAACATGATGTCTTTGACTGGAATGGGGCAGATTTCCCAGAAGCAGTCTGCTATGGACCAGCAACTAAAGCATAATAAACAGCAGCAATGAAAACCCCCCCACACACACATGTAAAGGACTTCTCTATTGTCGAGAGTTCCTCAAGTGTATATAGTTTTTCGAGTGTGATAGTGATATGATTTTGCACAAAGTAGTGCATTGTCCTGTCACTCTAAATGCGGCGGGTAACCTTGTGACCAATGTGCAAGACCTGCAATAGGTGCTAATGCTTGGCATCATTACTTGATTGAAGTTCCATAAATGCTGATCCTGGGTTGTATAGAAGCACGGGACACAACGTAGGGCACTCTCTCTCTCTCTCTCTCTCTCTCACTCACTCACTCACTCACAGGTTTGTAATTAGACTCTCTATACATATATATATATATATATATATATACACACACACACACACACACCCATAAACTTATTGGTTGACCAGAACAGAAGGTGGAGTAAATCCATCCATTTTATGTAACCACTTCTCCTAATTAGGGTATCAGGGTTGCTGGTAGTCCAAGGCTACAAGCACAAGACAGGGATGACCCATTGCGGAGCACCAAACCATCACAGAGCACACTCACAAACCATTCACTCACACATGCATACCTTGGGATAATTTGGCAACTCCAATTAACCTCAGTACATTTTTGGACTTAGGGTGGGAAAACCAGAGTAGTACTCTGAGGAAACCCATGACAACATGGGGAGAACATGCAAAACTCTACACGCAGAACCCTAACAGAGACTTGATCCCTAGTCCCATAGGTCCCACAGTACTAACCTTCCTTCCACAATGCCAGTGAAGTACCATTGTTTTGACCAACATTGAGACATAAAAGGCTTGGCTCTTGCTGGGGCTTGCAGACAGCAGGAGACACTCTCACGTGCTTCGCAGAGGGTTCATTAAGTCTGATATGTAACATGGAAGCTTGATGATCTCTTGAGCATCTTCTTCACTTTATGCTTGAAAAGCGCCGAACATATGGAAGTGATACTTGTTATTAGGAGATTTCAGCTATGTCTCGGCCAGGGTGTGACTCTTTCACTAAGGGGGGGGGGGGGAGCCAACTGCAGAAAGTCAAAACGAGCCTCAGCCACAGTCCCAGTAGGACAGATTTCATTAGCATGGTCTGCTGGTGGCTCATCCATTTTGTCGAACATATTCCTCACTTTCCTGCAAGTCCTTGGGTTTTCCTGTGAATCGAATTAATTAGAAAACTCTAATTGCACTGCTAGGTACTTTCGCAGGGAAGAAATGCTGTAAATCATTCAGAAAATGTCTCCAAAAATCGAGAGAGCACTGCTTTCGTGGAATGGCACAGATAACATTTATGTGCTCCCTTTGTAAGCTGGCTTCTGGCAGTTCTTGTACCTGATCATTTCTCTATTCTGATCTCAGTGGTTACTTTTGCTACATGGCTTGTTGTGGTTTCATCAACCACACATTTTTTTTATACCTCATCAGGGCTCAGCATTCAGACCTTTATTGTAAAGCTTACAGCTGAGCATCTATGACAGTAAATTTAGATGTATAAATGCTCTTTGTGAGTAATGTAATAAAAGGGATTCTGGATGTGGAGGGAACTGGCTTCATTCTGCTGACCCGTAAGCGATGTTGTTCTCAGCTGCAGAGACATGCGCTTAAATATTCCTTTTCAACTGTACTGAAGCATGTTCCTTGTTCCGAGGAAAGGCGATTACTAATGTGTGTGTGTTTGTGTGTGTGTGTAGGGGGAGGGGGTCACTATGTTTCTGTCTGGGTGCTGGGACAAAGAGGCATATCCGGCAGCATATTCTGATGCTGTCAGAGTGGATGAAAACGTGCATCCCAGCAAGTGACAGGTGTTACTCAGAATGGCAGATATATGTCGCACCGGGAAAATGGGGGGGGGGGTTATTATCCTAGAATGCATGAGGTGGCATCGGCCGAGTGATGGGCGCGTTTCTGCGGCAAAGCGTGCTGCATGTCTCCTCTGATCCCGCCGGAATGCAGGGAAACAAGACGCCATCTATATCCTGTGAGCGTCAAAACACAGAGTGACGTACAAATGGCGGCGCTAGAACAGGGTGGCCTTATATTCTGGCCGTGTGATCACACGTGCGTGGTCAAGCCGAGATCTTTCGATAAATTCAGGGGTCAGTCTGCCCAGGGAGAAGTGCTGACGTAAGAATGCAGTTGAAATCAGGAATGCTGGAGGCTGAGGGCAAACCCTGTGCGACTGGCATGAAACGCTTCACCTCTTGACTATAGACCACAGTTAACAAGGCAGGATGCTTGCCAAGCTCCTGTAAGGCGGCAGAATCAGGGCAGCTTTTGAAGTTACATCACAAGCCTTTGTGGAGACAAAAATACCAAT